CCCCAAAACCCCAAAACCCCAAAACCCCAAAACCCCATAAGAGGGAAATAAGATTGCACTTATAATAAACTTCTAAAATGACAACAATAGACAATTATACAATAAAGAGAAACTTGGGCTCCGGAGCCTTTTCAAAGTAAGTAATCCTCCTTTCAAGAGATATCAGGGATAGTTTCAATATATACTATTCGAGTATTCTTATCATTTACCATAGAGTGAAATTGGCCGAAACCCCTGAAGGGCAATTAGTGGCCTTAAAGATTTCTAAAAAGCTTGAAAACAATGAGAATGTTGATTCATCAAACAATCAAGAATTATTTTATGCTGAAACTGAAGCTTTGCAAGAGCTTTCCCATCCTTATATCATTAAGTATTTTGGACATTCTGATAGCTCCTTCCAGGTAAAGAAGGATGGAACAATCTCTAAGGTTCAATATATTGCCATAGAGTACGTTGACCAGGGAGAAATATTTGATTACGTCGCACAGACTGGGAAATTTTCTGAAGAAGAAGCCAGATACTATTTCAAACAACTGATCGAAGTTATCGAATACTGACATGAAAATGGCTACGCTCATAGAGATATTAAACCTGAGAACATTCTAATTGATAGCAAGTTTAATTTAAGGCTTGCTGACTTTGGTTTTGCTACCAGAGCCTCTAAGAGTCATGCAAGGAAAGGAACTTTCGGCTATATGGCTCCAGAAGTACTAGCCAGAAAAGCTTATGATACCAGGCAGCATGACTTATACGCTGCTGCTATTGTACTCTTTGTACTTGCTACCCAGCATCCTCCATTTTCAGCTGCTGATTTAGAAGATAAATATTTTAAAAGGGTTTATGATGAAAAATGGTCAGAATTTTGGAGCATTCATTCAGATTGCAATCTTTCCTACAATTTCAAGAACTTGGTGTCTCAAATGCTAATGGCTGATCCTAGCCAAAGACTAACTCTTGAGCAGATTAAGCAACATGAATGGTTTAAGGGCCCAGAATTATCTGAAGATGAGATCTTTGCTCGATTCACCAAGAGAAGAATGGCAATGACTAAAGCACATCATGTCGGAAAGAGTTGCTTCGAAAAAACTTTTCCGTCTCATCGAATACTTACAGATTTCTATCAAGTTGATGACGGGGATAAACTCCTCAACATTGCTGTGAAGTTTGCTAAGAAAAACAGATTCAAATGCCATAAATCTAGGACCTACTTCAGGGTCCAAATTTATGTAGAAGAATTCGGTGAAGAGACTGGTATACTAATCAGTATTCTGAGAAAGCCCAACTCAGAGATGAGAGCTATTGAATTTAAGAAAATTGCAGGTGATGGGATCACATTTAAATCCACTATCGGAAAGTTAAGGGAATACCTTGACACTTTTTTCCTCCCTAACTCCAAGTAGGAGTTGGATTCATGTTAATTAACTCAATTTTATAAGATTCCTTAATTCAACAAGGTTTCTTTCTCCTGGGGTTTTGGGGTTTTGGGGTTTTGGGGTTTTGGGG